AGTTACTTTGTCATTTTTTTTTTGAATAATTGTTGCAACTGTCTAAGTCATATGTAGCCAATTGTTTTTATTTAGAGGGCAGGATGGAATAAAAAATGCTTTTCGCGAGCAGCTTATATTAAAATTTGTAAATTATTGAACATTAAACAACTTACTTGGGCGAATAAACTTGTTTTTTATTTCATTTTGTTACTAAAAAAATTGGTTCCGAGGAGGCCTTTGTAAATTTATTTTTTTTTATATCATGCAGCAGTGTTGCTGACATATCATTCCTATATTTGAACCTTTGTGCTACAAAGACTGTAACATCCACACATCATGGCGTACATACACAAAAATATTTATATGTATGCATGCCCAAGCACCGCATCATACACGCGTGGTATGTGATAGTCTTTGAGTTTCGGACAAAAACCAGGCCTTTAACGCTTATTTAACTTGTATATTTTGTTCCAAAATGTTCCAAATTATATTTTTCAAGACATTGGACTTGCAAAAAAGATTATTTTATTGTAACGCATTACTTAAAGTCTTCCTATAATTAAATATCTCATTAAAAAAGGCTTCGTTCTGCAGTGGCAGATCTGCACTGAAAGATGGGAAAAGTCGTAGTTTTAGCGTGAAGAGATGTTTTTTCAAGGAAAAATTGACACGATAAGCCAATGAGCAAAAAGGTTGGGCCGTCAAAGTGTCATCGCCTTTTTTGAGGGAATTCTCCCCCCGGTCATCCACTTTTTTTTGAAAATATCAGCCTCTCGTTAAATTTGTCTAAATCCACCACCGTCGTACTGTAATAATGCTTTGAAATGAAAGAAATTAAATTTTTTATAAATAAATTTTAAGAGACAGTATAATATATTTTTAAAGCGCACGAACTAGTCGGCTTGTCTTAGTTTTACAGATTCTATTTGACGCCAATTCTCCTCAAAATCATTATTCGTCATCTCAAACAGCTAAATGCACTTAAATTAGTCTGATTCGGTAGCTGTTCTTGGAAAAACTCTGCGATATACGACAAAATTTTGTCCTATTAAGACCAAATCTTTTTACTTGCTCATAAAAAATATTTGACTTTTTAATGAGAATGATTTATCTTATAGATAGTCTATTCCAAACATCCGGAACGGCATGACGGAATAAGCGGCTCGCGAAGTGGAATTTGAAAATAGGGATGATTAAAAAGCGGAGCAATTTGGCATATTTATGATAGGGGTTTGATGTCGTGTAGATATTCTGAGGATTTTGAAAATATTATTTCATAGGTTAGAACAGCGATTTTTAAAATGATTCGCTATTTTCATTCTATCAAAATACACACAGACATCATATCTAAAGCTTTCGAGCTTCATCTAGTTTTTTATTCAGCATTCTATAAATTCACGCCTGCCACAATGAACGAACATACCGAATTACAACTGTGAAATCCATTATATTTACATGTCCAAAGCACTATAATAAAATTTAATAGTTATTAATGAATTTACAACGTTTCATGTTTTATTTTAAAAATTTCACGGATTACTTTAATGTACAGATGATCCAACGAACCCATATTGTGACTGCATGGTGGCAGAAGGATGGGCTGCTCCTTTCTGTTTGCCTGTAAGCTTTTTTAGTTTTGGGGATGTTTTTTAATTTAACATTTAAATTTTACTTCATTTCTTGATTAATACCTATAGATAAATGTTTCAAAAAATTTTAACGTTGACTTGTATTACAAGACTGATTTACCCACGTTCCTATTGACGGTTGCCCGTCTTTCTATTAGGAGTTACCTGCCTCTTCATAGGCAGCTACCTACCTTCCAATTAGCATATAACTGCCTTCTCATTGGCAGCTACCTGCCTTTCTATTGGCTGCTACCTGCCTTCCCATTGAAAAGACTCAGAGGGACATTGCTAGCTACATACTTTCTCATTGACCTATCATCTTATTGAGAGCAACCTGCATTTTCATTGACAGCCACCTAACCCTACCTACTTCCTCGTCAACAGCTAATTACCTTCTTATTGACAGCGACCAACTTTTTGCTACTCAACAGTTGTTTATATCACATTGACAATCCTATTGAACAAATTCGTGTCAAGCTCCCCTAACATTTTGCTAAGACTGAAGAAGCAAAAAATTTTGTATTGGACCATTAAAAATAAATAAATAAAAATAACAAAATATTAAAATGAACATTTATTAGCACCATACACACCGCTGCTTTATGGACGCATGGAGACTGCATCCACATTTTGAAAAGCTGAGTCTTTAGTCTTTGAAAAGACTCAAAGAGAAACATTTGTTGACCTTGACAAGTAACCTATTCTAAATAACCTTGGCAATAGGGATGTTTACTGGTTTGCAGAGAATCCGCGGAGTGATCTGGCATATACATCGAATCAATCAAAAACTCAGTTTTTACCGGTTGGCACTAGGCAGCAATTGGAAAAAATGAACATTGAGTGCATCAGATTTAGTGATTCTGATATTGGGATTTGTTTTTGTTAATAACATGTCTTCTAGCGTTCATGCAGAAGCAGTTACGAAAGAATGCTCTGGATAATTGCGTAGGCTTAGGCGCATCAAACAATTTTTAAGCAAGCATACTCTTAAATGTCTTTTTCATTCTTGTATCCACTCAAAAATAGACTATTGCAATAGTCTATATTACAGCCTGTCTGGTGTAAATATGTCTAGACTGCAGTCGGTTCAAATTGGGCTGCAAGATTGGTTTCAGGGGGCCTTAAATGCGATCACGTTAAGCCAATTTTTTTTGTTCTTTACTGGCTTCCGGTTTATCAAAGAGTTATTTTCAAGATATATTTAGCGGTTTTTAAATGTATTAAGGGAGTTGCCCCCAAATATTTAACTGACAGAATCATTCCTAGCACAATGCTACTGCTGAGTCAAACATTGCGCTCTGACAAATAAGGTTTACTGTTTGTACCTGACACAAACTTGGCTCTTGGTTGAAGGAATTTTTCCGTAATGGGTCCTGCTGTCTGGAATGGTTTGCCTAGGGACCTTCGCGATCTTGCGTTGTCTGTTATTCTATTTTGTAAAAGGCTGAAACACCATCTTTTTGTCCAAGCTTGCCCGTGTTGATGTCTTTTTCTTTCCATTCACTGCATTGCTTTAACAAGGTATTACGCAATGTACTGCAGTAATCGGTAGCGCCTTTGATATCTTTCTAAAGGGCGCTTACAAACACACTAATAATAACAATAATTTATGGTGGGATATGAGGTTATGTAGATGTGATGAGAATTTTGAGGATAATATTTTAAAGGTTAGAGTAGAAAAGGAAACCAGTAAGACAATAGAATGTGATTAGAATAGAATAGAAGGAAAGAACTGGAGCGAGGTTTCTTGAGGACAAGTCTGGTGGTTTTGTTTTGAATGGTGTATAGTTTTTTGATAGATGTGCGTGAAGTTTTATATAAAAGAGTTAACAGAGGAGATGTAAGCTTAGAAAAAGATAGGTCAAGAACGGACTTCTGTGGGACATTGACCAAGCTAGCAGAAGAGATGATATTGTTATATATCGAGGCCAAATTTTTGCAGAATGAGATAAAAAAGAACCGAAGGACTTATAGTAGCGAAGGCCGACCATGATAAAAATATTTCGATTGCTACATTAATTGAAAACGTTACCTGCTGTGTGTAGCAACGCAGTTTGGTAGAGTAGCGGGATTGAAGTTTTGGCAAGTTATTGTTTGGTGTTAAACGGTTGCGGGGTCTGAGCAGATTTTTTTTCTTCTTTTTGCTTCGCGAGCTTTGTGGGAAAGAGTGGAACTATTTTAAAGACCGCGCCTATTGATAATAGACTTAAGTGGAACATGACGATCGAGCAAAGCCAGAATATTCTAATGAAGAGGCCAAGGTATTCGGGTCATGTGAATTAGAGAGACAAAATCAAAAGTGTTGGAATTTATACAATGCAGAGATATTGTACGTGTGTGTATTCAATAACAATTGTAATTTTAAGCATTTATATCTGCAAAAATGATTCAGTGGTCAGAGTAAATGACGTCTGGCGCTCTCACATTCCCTACATTAATATTGGTTCGAACATTCTAAAAACAATGGTAATATTTTTTCTTTAAACAGTTGAGTGCACATGTTTTACAAATAATTTTTGCAAGTTGAAAATAGTTATATTTTACTTTTTTGTCACTTAATTCTCACGTTTTATATAACTGAAATAATTAAACTTTTAGCAACTCTCAGAGGATTTAACTGGTGATTACAAACAAGTGTTGGCTGGATTAGGTATCACTTTAGCAGTTACGGTTGTATACTGCATTGTTCTTGGACTTTTATATGGAAGAGACTGCATTTATATGATGCATAAAAGAAGAATGGAAAAGAAAAACAAGCTAAAAAATCATAAGAAAAAGTTTGTAAATGGCCCGAGTGACGCTGGTAATTGTTAATTAAACCATTCGCAAAGTTTGATTTTATTAATATTTTTTGTTTTAACTTTAATGAATTCACTGAAATGACATTAAGTTGAAATATTCATGGCAGGATTATATAATCATGAAGATTTATCTGATGTAACACAACTAGCAATCACCAACGAATCGACGAGTGAAAATTCCGTCTCGGCAGCAACAGAACAGTTGAGCGAAGGAAAAAGTGAAACCAGCGGATATTCAGGATCAAACCTATCTTCAATGGAGTAAACCTATCATTAAATTTTATCTTTTTATGTTTTAACATTTTGTCTGTTTCAATGTTTCAGATACGACGCAAAAAAGAAAAAAGGTGTCACTTTTAAATCAAAAAAATCTGATAAAACGAATGTCCAGAATAAAAGTGAATTTATTGAAGAACCACGGGAAAATTATAATTTAAGTCAGGCAATACAGTCTTCAAACCCTCAAAAAATTGTGAAAAATAATCAAAACGATTTGAACAGTTTGGAGGACTTGACACCCGAGACCATGATTTAATGGAAATATTATACAATATACATTTTTTGATCTGTTGTTTCAAGATCTGTCTATATTTATACTTTTTACGCTTTATTTTCTATTTAATTGATCTTGATCTATTAACGTTATGATGAAGATATTGATGGTTAACTGCAGCATTTACCTTAACAGCTTATACAAATATTTCGGTTTACATGTACATATATTTTATTTGTTTACTTTATTGTCAATACTTATGCTTAATAGCTGTATGAAGGGGCGAAGACAAAAGTGAGGGTCGGAAGGGGGATGTCGGACGGTAAGAGTAAGGTAGGAGTGCATCAAGGATCAGTGTTATCACCGTTTTTGTTTGCAATTGTGATGGATGTTGTGTGTGGAAACATAATGGAGGGGTTGTTATTTGAGATTTTGTATGCAGATGATTTAGTCTTGATGGTTGATAGCATGGAAGAATTGACAGATGGAAAAGTGTTATCGAAAAGAAAGGGTTAAAAGTTAATATTGGTAAGACGAAGGTAATGGTGAGTGGGGAAGGTGAGGAGCGAGTGATAAGTAAAATAGACCCCTGTGGGGTATGTGACAGGAGAGTTAAGGCTAACTCGGTATTGTGTATAGGATGTCAGAAGTGGGTGCATAAGAGATGTAGTGGTGTGAGGGGGGCACTAAAAAAGGTGTCTGGCACGTTCAAATGTAAGAAATGGGTTCATGGTGTGATTAATAGGATGGACGCAAGGACGGGGTTGAGTGGTGGTATTGAAAGAGTGGAAAGCTTTGTTTATTTAGGGGTTAAGCTGAACGCAGATGGAGAATGTTCGAGCGCTGTTACGGCTAGAGTTCGTGTAGGATGGATGAAATTTAGGGAACTAGGTGGGTATTGTGTGGAAAGAAATGGTCAGTGAAGATGAAAGGGAGTGTATATAAAGCGTGTGTGAGAGCAGCAATGGTATATGATGGTGAAACTTGGGTGTTGAGGAGGGAGGAGGAAAGTGTACTGCAGAGGGCTGAAAGAGCTATGGTGAGGATGATGTGTGGAGTTAAAGTGAAGGATAGGAGGAGTAGTATAGAGCTGATGTCGATGATGGGAATGAATGAGGACATTGTGACATTGATAAGAAGATCGAGATTGCGGTGGTATGGACATGTGTTGAGAAGGGATGAAAGGGTCGGGATTAGGCGAGCGTTGGAGTTCGAGGTTGAAGGAGTGATAGGAAAGGGTCGTCCGCGATTTGGATGGAGAGAGCAGGTGGAGAAGGACATAGTGAAAGCGGGGTTGCGTGATACTGAGACGAGTGACAGATGTGAATGGCGTCGAGGGGTATTTCGGTTTCATCACAGGTAGCTAAACGGCAACCCCTGATCTCGGGGAAAATGTCGCCTAAACGTGTGTTGTTGTTGTTGTGTTTATTGTCAATACTTACTTAAATGTGCTTATTTATTTGTTCAAATGAAAGTTATCATAAAGTAATTTAAAGTATAATTATTTTGAAGTTTGTATCAATTGCGATTTTCGAATCTTATGAAAATGAAATAAATATCTTGTTTGTGATTTTAAAATTAAAATAGCGATTCATTATGATCGTATGCGTAGTTGTATGTACCGCGTTTGTGTACAATTCAAAGTATGAGAAACACTACGAATGTTGACATCGCTTATTTCAAGTTAATTTTAAAAGGTATTAAATATTGTGGCTGTTTGTAAAAAATATAACCGTTTGTAGTTGTGTAGCTGATTATTTCGGAGAGAGTTGGAAATTTGTGTAGTCTAACAATGTGATAGAATGTTGCAAGCAGCATGACATCCTGAACGTAAAGTCTTCACAAACCTGCCAAGCCAGATTTTGCATTACCTGAATATATCTCACATGACGCTCACATTTACAATAGATATCAATTCCACTAAATTTTAATAATAGTTCACACCACACACACACACACACACACACACACACACACACACACACCACACACACACACACACACACACACACACACACACACATATATATATAATTTGTATGAATTTTTAAAATAAATATTTGAGAAAGAGGATACTAATGCCTTACATAACATTACAATATTTTTGGTTTATGATGAAAAAAAACTTTAAATAAATTTATTGCGAAAAAAAACAAAAACACCAAACTTAATGTTTGAAACATCTATGTTGCTAGTTTAAGTTAAAAATATGGCATGTTTGAAAAGAGTTTAAACCAAACCTAAGGAATAAAATATTTCTTGAATAATTGCATATAAGGAGTTTTTATTTATATCAAAGAATAATTCAATTAAGTCTTCAACCATCTGAAAATGTTAATATTTTTATGGGTTACAATATTATTTGCGCAAATTAATCAAACTTTCATTAACATTCAAAGATGAAAAGAGTAAGAGAGAAACATTATTAAAAAGCTGATGAATGTTGGTGTTATTGTGGGGTGTTTGTGTGAAGTGTAAAATTCAATTTATGACTATTTAAAAAAAGAAACCCATTGATGAACATGGTTGGACCGTGGCATTACTGAACAAAAATATAAACAGTAACTATTAGTTTACAATTAAGTAGTACTTATACATATAACATTAACTAAAGAAACAAAAGTGCGGAGAAGTGGAATAGCCAACTGGAAAATATTTGACGTCACTTCAAAACGAATTCACATCACACGACCATATATTAGGATAACGGAATGGACAAATTTTATTGTTAGAGGAGCTCATCTTATTAACTTTACACTGTAAATATAATTTTTCATACTATAATAATTATATTACCTAAAGAAAAAATTTAGATTGAAACGATTGTTTTCATGAAATTGATAACATTTAAAAAAACGAAACACATAAAATGAGATATTTGAAAACCAAATAGCCAAACAAAGCAAAAATAAGTTAAAGTGAAAACAAAATATTCAGAATTACAAGCAATTAACGTTTAAGGTGAAATGTGAATGTTGGTTACGCCCGAAAGATTAGTTGTGGCCAGTTGGGGATTTGATTCGATTGACCAGTGGCTTGTCGAAGACCCAGTGAGCTCCCACCTCATGAAATAACTGTTTGGTCGTGATTGGTTAATTCAAGTTACGAAATACAACTTGATTGGTTATTTAAAATGATAAACAATGAATTAATTGCTACATTACAAATAATGTCTAAATTTGTTGCAAGGTACCAGATTTCTTTAGTCTGAAAAATAGATCATGTTTTTTTAGAACAAATCAAATTCTGATAAACACAGCTAAGGCAAGGATTATTGGATTGAATGAAAAAAATGAAAAAATGGATCAATGTTATTTATTGCTATATGAAACAACAGTTATAGAAGCAATACGCCCATGCAACTTGGAGATAAGGTCATACCGAGCGTAAGCTACGGAAAAATTTCAAACAGTATATGATGACTGTTGCGTATGAATTATCGACAATAAAACGCGCATTTTATATTATACAAAAATTACATGAAATTCAGCAACGCAACTTGTAAGCCAAACACAACTCGCCGCAAGGCAACAGACGACAAACACTGCTCTCTTGCATGTAGGTCCAACAACTCACTGTTGCTTTGATTAAAAAGATATTTTTGTATCCAACCTTCTAAGAAGGCATAGAATACGCACTATAAACTAAATATAAGATTATAACAATAGCAACAAGATAGGAATCCATGTCAGTTTCCTGCGGGTTTCACAGTCGGAGTCGAATATGATCATAATGAAAGCCAAAAGATTCTCGCCAATTGTTTTGCCCGTAAAATAAAAACCAAAAAAAGACCAGTAAATTGAATAGTTGAAGAACCTATGGACATATCAAGTTGGACACGAGCAAGTTTCGATTCTATTTAAATATAACTGATCAGATCCTGTCTTCTTCGAACAAACAGTTATATTCAAACTATTATTCAAAACATTTTAACAAGTAATGCTAACGAATTTTATTCATGAGTTTTGAACAGATCTGAACAATGAAAAGCAGTAAGAAGAGGACAAAAACAAGAGCAGCTGGAGAACAGACCTTGGTTTCATAATGAATGCAGTTGTCCTTCCTTCTCTTGGCTTCATCTCTCTGATGTTGCTCCAGTTGGCACTTGTAATCAGTGGCTTTCTCAATGTTTCGAGACTTCAAGTTCACTGTCACGTTTCTCCAGAGTCTGCATTCATTTTACGTTTTCAAGCTTTTTTAAAACAACTTTCACGTACCACAAATCACACACCACAAATAATAATAATAATAAAATAATTTTGAAAATTAATCATTAAAAGTGTTGACCTCCTAGATTCAAAATCTTCCTGCTGGTCCACTGGCTTCACTTGTTTCTTAATGATGGGCATGTTCTTGGTGTCCAGAAAGACTTCGCTTACATTCTGAAATGTTTGTACGAATTTTATAAATAAAGACCATCTGAGAGGATCTTTATAAATGCATTAGACATAATCGGGACTGAAGTCACGAGGGCCAGGTTGAAAATTATTAAGTTGCAACAGGAATGATTCTGATTCAAATATTGAAACAATGAACGAACGAAGGTCTCACCAGAGTCCCAAGGTAATAAATTTAAAAAAAGCAAACGAACTCCTTGCTTGAGGAACATCACTCCATTCCACTCCCCCCTCACGCTGGCAAAAGCTTTCTTGTCGTTAGGACCAAACATTTCGGCCACCACCTGGTCCTTCTTGCCGCCGTAGAATGGCTGCGGGGAAATTGTTTATAATATTCACGCTACAAACATTCGTTTCCATAGCTACAAATGTTGAGAATCACAAATATCATACAACCAGAGTGTTGCAGTCGGTCGCAGTCGGAACTTTTTGTGGAGCCGGAGTCGAATTTTTTAACCGACTACGAGTCCGGAAACTGTTATTTAATTTTAAGAAAATTTTTTTCTGAAAATTTTTTTTTTAAGGTTTTGTTTTTCAGAAGATAAATGTATGTAGCGATAACCAATCATCTTTAATACTGAAAATAAATGCTAATAATGTGAATGAAATCAAATAAATTTGTTCAGTATGTTGTAAGACATGAAAATGAAGTAATTTTACTAAGAAAAACATTTACATTGACTGATTTTAAACGTTTGTTTTAAGTATATTTTATTCAGTAGCGATAATAAGGTGGCGAAGTTATAAAGTGAAAGTTGGAAATTTTTACAACATAACAATAAAATAATTTTACCATGAAAAACAATTTGATTGATTGATTTCAAGTGTTTTTAAGTATTTTTCATTTAGTAGTAATAATAAGGTGAAATTATGATACAAAAGTTGAAAAATTTTTCTGGAATTTGGAACCTGGAGTCGGAAATTTTTACCGGAGTCGGATAGTTTTGAGGGTCAGAGTCTGATATTTTTCATCTTACTCCGACACGCTGTATACAACTCAGATGACATTCAAAACAACTTATAAATATTAACACTTGCATTAATACAATTCTTACATAAATCACTTGCCTGCATAAAAACAGCAAAAAACGTAAAATAAAAAAGCAAGGACTAATTACAAAGATTGAAATTTATTGAATACGAATTTGAATTGAAAGAATAAAATGACGAACCTTGGTTAAAAATTCAATTTGAGCAGAGTAGCCTGTTTTGGAGCAGGTGATGGAAACCTTTCCACCGAGCTCCATCCATGGAACAGTCAATATGGATCTGATTGAAACAATTCATTAATAAATTATTACTGGTGCTGCAATACATCCACCAAAAGTTGTTGTGTCAAATTTAATCAAATGTTATTGTTGTTGCATTAATATCAATTTTAAAAGTAAATGAAAAAAAGTGCCGAAGAAACTGTCCTGCAAACAAACTGCACTGAATAAGTGACCATGCCAACGACCTGCCATATCCGTTCGGGAAGGTGACGACGTAATCTTCATCGTGATCGAGCAGCGAAATGACAGCCTGGCCGATCATGTGCACGCCAACCGACAGGCCGAGAAATTTCGACTTCGTCCAAATGTAGCCATTAATCGATATTCTCTTGTTGTAACATTCAGCATAGAAAGCTGAAACTGAAAAAATACGATTAAATTCGTTGAAAGTCAAAATGTTGCATGTATCAAGTTTGAGATATTCCAACAACTAATGAAGATGTTGCAACAGCAAATGATCAAAATGTTGCAACAACAAACGAACAGATGTTGCAATAACAAATGGTCGAGATGTTGCAACAACAGATGATCAAAATGTTGCTACAATAAAATGTTCGACATACTTGGTGGATGATGAGATACTTGTTCAGCAACAAATGATAAATTACTCTTCGAACACCATGGTATGGGTCCATCTTTATCCTATCGAATAAATTTAGAAAGATAAAAATTACCAACAACCAGCATTGCTCGCTCACAAAAGCATGCAATTCAACTGGAGCCGTTGATATCAAATCAAATTTTATTCTATCAATCCAAATTAATAATAATTAGGTAATGATTAGGAGACCAAAGCTAAAAGAAAACAAAATTCTTGTGTCGCAGGCCACCGTTCATAAATAGCAGTGATGACGAGTACTTAAGTACATTTGTACTTTAAGCACGTACTTAAGTACAAATGCAGTACTTAGATACTTATACTTAAGTACATACGAAAACCTGCACTTAAATACTTATACTTAAGTACATTTTTCAGTACTTGTACTTATAAGTAATAAATTTTTCCTGTAAGTACCAGAAAAATTTTAAGCAAAAATAAGATAATGTCAACATTTAAAAATTGAAAACTGTGATGAAAACACACACACACATTTTCACATTGACATTCTTGTTTATCTCTCTTATCAATATTTGTTGTTGTTTAGTCATGGATAGCGGGATGTTAAGATAACCATTGGCTAATTGAGTCATTAAAAGGTGGTTAACTCACATCACTCTGACATCTATATATCTATATCATAGACTCTACATGATCTATATACACATGCACGCTATATATAGTAGTTATTTTATATATATATATATATATATATATATATATATATATATAACAATCCTTATAAATATATGTGTTAAAGTGTTTTTGTTCACATTTTAAATATACGTGTGAAGTGTTTTGTTA